CATGAACAAGTCAAGGATGCCCCTAGCATCACTCATGCTCAGCATAGTTCTGGAAACTATAGACCAAGGAATTAGATCAGCAAATGAAATAAAACTAGCACAGTAAGAAGTTTAATTATTATTATTTGCTGCTGACAGTTTATGTAGAGAATCCAAAAGCTCCATAAAAGGACTCCCAGAATTAATGAAAAAAATGAACACTGTATCAGGATACAAAGTCTGCACACAAAAATCAGTAGCATTCCTATACACAAATAATTTCATAGAAAAAAAATTAAGAAACAAAACCTTTCACAATACTATCAAGGAAAGTGACATACGTAAGCATCAGTTCAACAAAGAAAGTAAAATACTTTCACCTTGAAAGCGATAACATTCTGAAACAGGAGATTGAAAAAATTAGAAATTGAAAGTCATCTCCTATTCTTCAATAAATAGGATGAACATGGTGAAGTACACATACTTTCAAATCTGTTTTATAGATTTAATGCAACCCCAATCAATATTCCACTAGAATACTTCATAGAACTAGAGAAAACAATTCTAAATTTTATATCTAAGGTGAAGCTATCTCAAATAGTCAAAAAAAATTCTGGTGAGTAAGGGGGAAGTCAGGGGTATTGAAAGTACTGATTTGAAGTGAGTCTAAACTGTTCTCATGATTAAAACAGCATTATCCAGGCAAAACAAAACAAAATAGAATAAACAAAAAATCCTGAACACCAGACACAAGTATCAATGGAATAATTCAGAAGATACAAAAACAATTACCAGTATACTATGATTTATATCTTGATAAAAGGGGACAAACACCATTACTGGAAGAAAGATAGGTTTTTTTAAATAAATATTACTGTGAAAACTGGTCTTGCACATGCCAAAGATCGAATCTAGAGCCATATCTGTCACTAAACTGAATATGTGTATCAAAGATCTAAATCTAAAGACAGAAACATTCTTCCACAAGATAGATTAACACCTGTGAAGATGCATGTTCAGGCAAAGACTTCCTCAATATAATTCCAATAACACAGGAAATACACAAAACATCCACAACTGCATATACAGCAAATTAAAAAGCTGTTTATAGCCAAAGAAACTACTGACAGAGTAAAAGGACCACCTACAGGATGGGGAAATATTTTATCAGCTACCACTCAGGAAAAAAAAATGCCAATATCTAAAATATATAAGAAAATCAGACTCCTCAATTTTTTAATGTATTTGGTACAGGGTCTCACTATGCAGCTCACACTCGAAGTGATCCTTCTGTTTTCAGCCCCCTCAGCGCTGGCAGTACAGACATCCACCAGCATGCCTGGACTTGGTGGTTGACTCAGCCTGCCCGTTGGGCCGGCATGGCATATGGTGCTGGGGATCGAACCCTCATCCCTGCGCTTGCCTATGTAGTCACTTAATCTGCTGAGTTATCTTGCTGTGCCCAGACTCCCCAATTTAAATACCAATCCAAACATGGGTATCTGAAGAGACACTTCTCAGATGAAAAAGTACAAACTGCAAATAATACATAAAAAAACATTCAATATCTTGTATTATACCAGAAATGTAAGTTAAAATGACACTGAATTGAATGGGACTTCTAATCTTAGTTTTTTGAGGACGCTCTTCACTGATTTCCATAGAGGTTGTACCAGCCTACACTGTCCCCTACAGTGGAGATGGTTTCTTCATTCACAACGCTTTTGTTATTAGTTGATTTCTTTATTAAAGCCATTCTTTCTGGGCTGAGATGGAATCTCAGTGTTGTTTTGATTTGCATTTCTCAAATGACCAGTGCTGTTGAATATTTTTTAATGTATTTATTGGTCATTTGTATGTCTTCCTCTAAGAAGTGTGAATTCTTCTCAGATTCCCACTTCTGGGTTGGATCTTTGTACTTTGGGGCCAAATGTTTTTAGTTCTTTATATATTCTAGATAGAAGGCCATTGTCTGAGTGTCTGTTGATTAAGATATTTTCTCAATTTGTGGGTTTTCTTTTCACCTTGTTGGTGATTTCTTATGATGCACAAAAGCTTTTTAATAAGAGATCCCTGGTCAAATATCATACTATGGTGATATATGTTCACCCATGTTTATAGTAGTACAATGTGACATAGCTAAACCTGGCAAACAACATAAATATGCACCAACTGAAGAATGGATGAGAAAGTATGTGGTAATTTTATACAATTTTATACAATTACTCAGCTATAAAAAATGACAAAGTTGAGATTTTTGTAGGCAAATGGACAAAACTAGAAGTTATACTCTCAAGCAAAATAAATCAGACCCACGTGTGTAAACATCATATTGTTTCCCTAGTGTAAGAACCTGAAAGAGGAAATAAACTCTGAAAGGTACAATAAATACAGTGAACATAAAAGAAACTGAGAAAAAAGAATAAACCATTGGCATGAGGGAAAAGAGAAAAGAAAGTTAAAAAAGGAGAGAAAATCATGCATGTATATACATAAGATAGCTAAGATGATTTTACTACTAATTTCTATTGCTTTTTCATGGGAGCACTTAACTGTAAGGTTTTTACTTTACCAATTTTACATGCTTATAGCTGATATTTTGAGCAACTACTTTGAAGACAACAATGTGAAGTATAACAAACACTGTTGAATACCTGTCATCTTGTTTTTTTTTAAAGATTATTTTATAATAGTCACCCTAAGAGTCATATACAAGGAGAGTACAGGAAATCTATCCACACACTAAGACTGAAAGAGTCCAGATGAGGGCCTGGATCCCATGGTAGTGTCCTGCCTGAGTCCAGCTGGAGACCTAGAGCCCAACACGATGCCTCCCACAAGTCCAACTGGAGGCCAAGAGCCCATGACAATGTCTCAGGCAGGCCTCTTTCACTCATCTGCATTGTTTCTTTTGAAATTGTGTATAATTTCTAATTTCTTAGCTATTATTTTTCAATTCACCTTGAAATAGGTTTTTTTAAAGAAGAAACTATTGAGATTGCATCTCAGTCATAAAAGAATGGCTATCTTCAAATCTTCAAGAAATCAACAAATAACTAATGTTGGCAGGGCTGTGAGTAAAAGGAAACCCTCCTCCACTATAGGGTGGCAGTGTAAATTAGTACAACCATTCTGGAAAGCAGTGTAGAGAGTTCTCAGAAGACTAAATCCTGGTGTTCCATTTGACCCAGCTCTTTCCCTTCTAGAAATCTTCCCAAAAGAGTTAAAGCAAATCACAAAAATGTTGTATGCATACTCATGCTTATAAGAACACAGTTCTTAATAGTTAAATTTTGGAAACAGCCTATATGTCCATCAGTAGATGAATGGACAAAGAAAATGTTATGTTTATAAAGAATGTTGTACCCTGTCATAAAGGAGAATAAACTTAAAAAATAGTTTCATGAAAATGAATGTGCGTCAAGATCATAAATTTGAGTGAAATAAATCAGGCACACAAGTTTAAATATTGCATTACTTCTCTTACGCGATTAATGTAAAAGGTGTATATAAATGGAGAATAGATATTGGGAAGAAAGGAAAGGAATTATCAAATAAGGGAAACAAAGAAGGGGGATAGGAAAAGGACAGGATTATTCAATACAATCTAAGGAAACACATTTATTACTTCATTTATTTTTTAAAAAATGTATTTAGTAGAGGTTCTACAGGGTCTCACTACACAAATCGGACTCGTAGTGATCCTCCTGCTTTCAGCTTCCCAAGTGCTGGGATTACAGGCACGTGCCACCACACTCAGTCTCCATCACTGTCTCAGCGCATCCCGGGGACGGGGCTGGTGCGGCAGGCCAGGGGCCGAACCCCTGGCCCCTCCATCTGCCTAAGCAGGTGCTTTAATATGCTGAGCTATCTGGCTGGCCTATTACTTCATTTCCAATAAAATACTTCTGTTGGCATCTTTTGTGGTAGAGTATATTGTATGTTGTGTTAAAAAATTCTGTATACTTGTCTTTGCCCCTTTTTTCTCCATTGTATTTTAAAAACTACACTTCTGTTTTTTGTATCCAAGTAACATTGATATTTTCATATTCTCTATACGATACATGAAATTGTAAATTTTCATATTTAACTATTTGTATGAATGTTATCAATAAATTATCATAACCTTATTTCATCTACTATAATATTGCTTCTATTTTTCAAGCAATTCATGGTGCCTTTGATGAAATACAGGCAGCATCATCTGTTTTATTCTTTAGGATCTGTATAAGTTAATTGAAGCCTCATAATAATAAATTGAATTTACATCTCCATTGGTTGACTTCCCTACTTACCAGGTAACTGAAGGTGATTAAGAGACACAGCTCACCCATTAAAGATATGCTATAGAGTATACACTGTACAGTATGTTATATATCACAGAAATACATACACTGCAATCCAAGAAAATGCTCTTGAATGTTTGCTTGGTTCCATGACATAAATGGAAACTTAAAAGTAAAAACATGTACATTTATGCCTTCAATATGATCTACTCATAGTTTCAGAAAAGATGAATTGTATGTGACAAATTAGCTGAAATAAATCTGTTACTATAGACTTGTCAAAATGAAATGTCTGGGGGCTGGCGAGATGGCTCAAGTGGTCTAAAGCACCTACTTGGAACAAGCTTGGCAAAGCACAGGGACCACGGTTCGATCCCCCAGCACCACATACCAGCCAGCCTCGCCCCCTGGTGTACTAAGCTGGCCACACACACACACACACACACACACACACACACACACACATACACACACACACACACTAAATAAATAAAAATAAAAGAAAAAGAAATGTCTGCAGACAATACTATCATCAGTTAATCTAAACCTATTAGTCAAAGAGTCCAGGTTAAGTCACTGGATTTGCATTACTCTAAGACACACAAAGATGGATTATAAAAAATAAAGTTAAGAGTAGCAAAATTTTGTCATGCGATAATCTTTTCTATCTTTTTAAATTCATGAATGGAGAAGCACAAGAGTCATACAGAATTTAACCGTAAGGCACACACTTACTGGTCTCATTGGAAATTTCGTTCTCTGGGCAGGGGATGCAATCAAAACAACAGACAACCTTTCTCTCCCGATGGGATTTCCTAAATCCAGGGCTACAACTGGAACTGCATACTGAATTTGGAGGCTGAGGAAAATACATATTTGTGGTAAGTAAGACTTTCACCCAGTTCCATGAAAGCTACATTATTTTAAACTATTGGACCACTGGTAAGCTTACTGTGCATATGTCAGTGTGTGGTTAATTGAAAAATCTCAGGTACATTTAATATTATTATACAGTAAGCCCCCAATTTGCAAATGAGTAAATGAATTCCATTCCAAAAGAATGTGCATAAGTCAGATTAGCTTGTAAGTCTGACAAGTGAATCTAAAAGATAGGAAAAAAGGTACAGGAAAAACATGCATGACTGAGGTGATTGTATGAAGAATTTCCATCAGTGTTTTGAAAATAACAGTTAATATGTAGAAGTTTCACCTTGACTAACACTGTATGCTGGTATCTGTGAACTATGCAACTACATCAAGGACAGCAATGTATAATACAAAAACTAAGCTTGAATACATGTCATCTTGGTCTTCTAAATGTGTACTGTCTCTAATGTCATGTCAATTATAACTATAATCTCTTCAGGATAAAATTTTTAGAAAAAGGTAATAGAAAAAGAGACAAGAACAAAATTTTAAGATTTCTTGAAAGCATGCAGTAATATTCAATCATATGCCCAATCTTGCGTGACTATATCTGTTAACCTGAGCAACAGATTTCACTATAAAAATAGATAACATATCAACCATTATTGATCAGCTATTCTTGTTTTGAAAATCTGTAGCATATATATCATTGTGTGTTACCATGTTTTTGCCTTTGTTTCTGATTTCTGTTCATGATTTTGTTTTTACACTTCAAAATAAAATACAATTACAATTAGAAATGCATCTTTAACATGAATTTAAAATGTAAAGCACAAACATAGTCCAAATCTTCACAACACCACTTCTTTTTCTCTTGTTTCCAGAAGAACTGGACTCTGATTCAGCTACTAAATACTATCACATGGTACAATAAGCACACAGATGCACACTATGACAATTTCCAGCAGACTCATAAGCTACTTCCATAATTTCTCACACTTACGTAATGTGACATATGCTGGTAGGTGAATGTTCATAAGTTAGATGTACTTTGCTTCACATGATTCTAATGGCAAATCAAACTGGATAAAAATGGAATCAAATATTCCCACAAGCTCAGCATTGCACCTGACCATTGAATTTGTTTTGATTCTCATACAGCTCAGTTTGCAAACAGAATCATGGAAGGAAACAATTTTGTGAGCTGAGGAAACAGTATAAACATTCAGAAACATGGTTTGTTTTGTTTTGTTTGACACAAGGTCTCACTATGCAGTTCAGTCTGGCTTTGAATTCATTACGTAGCCCACATTGGTCTAGAACGCATGGTGATCCTCCTGACTATGGCTTCCAGATGCTAGAATTACAGGCATGTACCACCGTGCGTGTAACTCAGAAACAGAAGCATGAATTAATTGAATTGTGATTCTTTCTCACCTTTCAAAAATAATTAAGTAAAGTTGGAAGATAAAAGAAAAGAAACTTAGTGTTCATATGTGATTCTTAGCTTTGAAGAGACACAGCACTCACACAACATTTTGGTACTTTATACATAAGATAAGAAGTATGAAAAAAAAAGTATGATAAAGGCAACTCACCTTTCTATGATCTGTGGCCCATTCTATCATTTCCTCTGACAGAGACAATTGCTGACCACGTGGTAAGTATGGGGAAAACGTTCCTACTTTCACCTTATGTCCAAGTCCTTTTGGAAAATCCCAAAGGTTGAGAATATCATACTCAGCACTTAATTTTCTTTTCTGATTCATGTCCACAGTGTCTCCAATAAAATTTTTAAATTGCAAGTTCTTCAGGGTGAAGTGCAACTAAAAAAAAATTGTCCTTCTTTATGAAGTGAGTGCCAGAGTGAAGAAAGAATATACAAACAAGGCAATGCCCTCATTTCCTAAGTCCTTAACTCAAAATACAATTTTGTGAAATGAAGACACTGGAGTAAAAAAAGTGATTGCTTGTGTGAATCTAAAACAACACGACGTTTCTAGAATGCCAGCAAGACTCATGAGAAAATATGCTAAGGTAGGCACATCTCAAAAATCAGTGGACATGATAATCACATAAATGTCAAATCCAGTTTCCTCTTTTATTGTTCTTGAAGGTCATCAAATACCTAAATAGCTTATCAAATTACACAGGTTCATGCATGAAACTCTGCACCTCAGTGCTCAGAATACTTTAGGTACTAAAAATGCTGGCTCCCTTGCTTTATTTGAGAAATTGATGGAAAAAACCCTAGAATTTTCCTGTTGAGAATGTGAGCAAGGCTTAATGGCATATTCTTCTGGAACAAAAAGCACTGATATTTCCTGAAACTCTACCGTAGTACTGTTGTCTACATTTTTAGTCTGACCCATTTTCTACATAACTTTTTGTTAATGGTAAAAAGTACAGAAACACTTGATATGGGGACAAAGGACCCCGAACTATTGCATTGAAACACCTTTGGGCCACTTTTGTTTTCTTTTTAAAGAATACAAAATAGTGATAGAAAAAAGCCAGCATTGGAAATGATACAAGATTTCACTAAACAAAGTAATAGGAATTCAACAATGGTTGCTAGATTACATGATACAATCTTCAAATTATTTATTCAGATTACCAGATATAAATATGTAAGATTAAATTAAAGAAATAAAGAAAATGAAACAATAGCCAGATTTTACCCTCCTAAGTATTTTTCCTTTGTGCCTTTTTAAGAAAATTGTATCCATCTCCTGACAAACCATTACATACAAAGGAGATAACTACCTGCCAGGGAGAAAATCCCAGTCTTTTCCCAATATTCTTCAGTTCTATATCTACTTGAAGAAGCATTTCATGGAGGGCATAAGCCACAGTGTGCACAGCATTATATATATTGTAACTCCCCTCACTCATGGCCATGTCAAACTTGTACCACGGGAGCCATTCCAAGGAGCCATATGATGAACAATTCTCCAAGGACTGACATGTAGACTCTGAGACTGAGCAGTTAAAATGCAACCACCACAATCTTGCAAGGAAAATGTCTTCTGGGTATTTTGAAGGATTCACTGTCTGGATAAAATTTTTAAAACCAGAAACTTCATCATGATGTTGTGAAAAAATGAGAGTACCTTGGAAGGGGTTGAAGAGAAAATGTCTCTTACTCGTGGAAGCATCCCATTGGGAGGTGGTGACCCAGACTATCCTGTTGTTGAAGTACTCCCATCGCCTAAAAATTGCAAGTACAGAATTTTGAAAGCCTCCAAAAATGATAACAACATTTGCTGATGATGTCACAATCTGCTTATTATATCTATAATAGCCATTCATGTATACATTTATATGGGTAGGGATAATATGGACAAACGCCACACAGATTTTGTTTCTTTCCATTTCTTCTCTCAAAGCTGAGAGAAATTGAACACCTTTCTCATCCTTTGAGATGACTATCCCTATCCAGTCCCAGTTGAAATAAAGCATCAAGGAGGCCATGGCGATGGTCAGAGATGTGTCCTTGGGGGACATCTGATACAGAGAAGAAAACTGGCCATTGTCACTCAGGACGGGATCAAAAACACCAAATGAAAGCTGAAGGGAAGAGGAAATAGAAAACAACAGGAAGAAAAGGATTAATATAACTCATGTTTCAATCTGTAAGTGTATTTAGAAACAGCAGTTAGAAACAGAAGAGAGTTGTTTTTCATTTATGTCAAACTGTATTCAGTTTCTCTGTTTTGTGAAATGGTAGACTAGACATGTAACTCCCAATTCCAATCCTGACTTGTACCAACTTGCTCTCCTAATTGCAAATAAAGCATAGTTTCCCCATCATTCTGTGTTCTTAGCCTTTGATAATCAATTCTTTGATACATGTAGACATCCAGTTTTCTTCTTTCATCATAGAGTGTATTTTCTGTCTACTCAACCACCCACACTCACCTGAGGAAATTTGTAGAGTTCCAGCAGTGTGCATATTAGAGAAGATACTGCTGACGGTGTTTCTGTAAGTACCACTGCAGACTTGCTTTCTCCTCTACATGTGTAATTAGGGATTTTCGCATCAAATCCTGAGAGCCAAGTGAGAAAGGTTTCCAATGATATAAAATCATTAAAGAGATTGTACAGATCAAATCCCAGGGATGTGTTGGGTAACAGATGGGCATTGCTGTTCACCTCTTCAATCGCAAAAACCAAAGCCAGAACATACTGGTAGTTGTTGGCATGCAGCCTGCAGAGACAAAAGAAAAATTTTTAGGAATAAGATGATAATTATTGTTGCATTCAAAATAATAAATGCCCTTTTCCCCAAAATTACCATAAAGAAACCATGTCCCTGTGTTATGGCATCAGATCACTTATTTGAGATAATAGATTATTAGTATTAGAAGAGTATTATAGTATCATAATGATAAGTACTATAGTATTCTACCGTATTAATATTAGATGAGTATTAGATGAGATCTTGAGGGCAGATATGTTATAAGGGAATTCATTGTATGAAATTTCACAGTGATTTTATCGTCACTCAGCAACTGAAAGGCACCTTGAGAATACTGTCTGACATCTGTGAACGAAGACACAGGACTGTACCAGACAATGAGGACAGTGATCCTTTGATCATGGAATTCCCAATCTCCACAATTGTGACAGGTAAGCTTTAAATTCTTTTTATTTTAAAGAGTATAAACTCATGAGAAGGAAGTCAAGCTGCAGGATCCTGAATAGACCCAGAACACAGGCCCGGCGAGTGAGTGAGACGACCCGGGCCGCGGAATCCTGAACAGACCCAGAGCGCAGGCCTGGTGAGTGAGAGAGATGACTGAGACCGGGATCCTGAATAGACCCAGAGTGCAGGCCCAGCACAGAACCCTTCAGCAGAACTCCCTGCAAAGAGGCTAGAGGCAAGACCCACCAAGCTGATTCAGGAGCAGGAACATCTTGCCAGAGTGACACATAGGGTTCAACTCCAAAGCCTGCAGCAGAATGAAGTGGAGCACAGAGCCAGATCCAAACAACACCCACCTGGAAGAATCAGAACTTCGTAGATCTGGACCTGGTGCTAAGGTAATAACTCTATCTAAGCTCTACACCAAAGGTCAGACAGAAAACAGTGGTATAAAAAATGACAAAGAGAAGGAATAAAATGCAGTCTCAGGCCCCCAGTCCACCCAGTACAACTGCAGAAAACACCAGCACTGAGGAAACTGGAAATCACACACCAGATATCTCAGAAATAATAGCGTTGACAGTAAAGAATCAACTGCAGAAAGGGGTATAGAAGAAATCAGATCAGAAATAATTTCGGAACTAAAAAATGTAGTGGTAACTATAATCAAAGAAGTACTAAGTGCTTCTAAAGAATACACTGATAAAAAAATA